TATTAGAGAGGGGGGGGTTTGAAGGGACAGGTTTACGGTTCAGTGCATGCTTATTAATTAAATTACTTTTCCTAAATTACTATTAATTCTGTCGGTTAATAATCCCACTCACATGTATCTCAGCGACTCTAGAGTGTATTTCAAAGTAGAAGTGTATTTCAGAGTAACCTGAAGTAGGTTGGAGGCGTACTAAAATCACAGAAAAAATTGGTGGATTATGCCAACACTACCAATACTGAATTCGTTGTTGACCCGAAGGTTTTATTTCATGGTTGATGAATTTACAGCTATTTGCACATAAGTTGATCAAGTGAATGCCAGGGGAGTGTGCAGATTGGTTCTTTGACAACATTATGACATGATCACATTGCTTGCATAGACGATACAACGTGTCCTGGCAAAAAATACAGCATTTTGATTAACTAGCATGCACTGTGAAACTGTGAACCTGACCCTTTAATAGAGGATCTACCGTACGTGGAAACATATGCATGGCTGTGTCCTTACAGACCCTTCTGGCAATTCAAGCTTGCCCTTCTCAGGACAGCAAAGATACCTTAGTTTTAAAAGTTAAAAGAAACATGCAATTTGGCCAGCACTGAGTTAGTCTTAATAAGTGTAGTATTATTATTCAGTCAAATATTTCTCCATTTCTGATTAGCTGAAATCCCAGGCAGAATTCATCATAGCCAGCTATTGTCGATTAAATTTGAAAAAAATTTTGTGATATGCAAAAAAAGATGGTAATCCCGCAGCAAATTGCCAGATTATTGAACCATTACCCGAGAAGACCTGGTGATGAGGACTGAAAAGTTGTTAACCAAAATTAATACATGTAAGTGAAAGGGGTACCATTTTTAATAACATGTGTAAGAAAGGGTTACCTTTTCTGTTATAAATGATGAAATAAAATAAAAATATGGTGATATGATAAAAAATGAATAAAAGGTTGATATAAATGGGTTGGGGATTGGACATCAGAGTGGAGCCTCCCCATATGAAAGTTTTTTGAGTACCTCCCAGGAGTGTGTATAAAATGCCAGCCAGCAAGCCATGAATTCCATAGAAGGCTCATTTAAAATAAAATACAAAAAAAATTAAAAACAGTAATACAGAAAACATGAACTGAAAGCTAACCACTGTGAATAAGCGTTTAACCCTAAGCAGCACTTTACCTTAGCCCTAAAATGAGTGTTTAACCCTTATCCGTAAGATGAAAGCTTAACCCCAATCTATACAAATATGAGAGTGCTTAACTCTAATCTGAATAATGAGTGCTCAACACCTAGTCTGTAAATTTACAGTTTTCCTTGTTTTTTTAGTTTATTTTGACCGATGGCTCGCGTGACTTGCATGGCTTGCTGGCTTTAGTTTGTCAAGACCCACCTCCAGTTCCAGGTCAGGAACTGATGCTGAAGTGGAAAATACTATAATGTCTTAAAAACTTATTTTATTCCAACAAAGTCTGATCTAGAGCATGCCATTGCATTATTGCTACCGGTTTAAGCAAAGACGTCCCCTTCAAATACCTGTTCTGGATCATTATTTTTGGGGCACTTCAAATTGTGTTTTAAAAGAAGAAACAAGGAAATGTAATTTCTCCTTGTGCAAAATCTTTTTGAAACAATATTTTAGTTAAAATTGCAGAAGATTAAAAGGAAAGTAAGAACCAAATCTAGAGAATATGACATAAAGGCTCAATTTTTCCAAGGTTGCCTGGCACTTTATGGTTTGAATAAATACTATATGGGGTAGATTATGTAGATGAGAGCCTCTCTCTTGATGTGACTGAATGCACATATATGCCATAACAAATAAGGCTTTCAGCATTCTTTGGGGAACAACACAAAGAAGAAACTGCAGAAATGTCCACGGAACATGATGAAGCAGAGCCTGAAAATGATCAATCGAGTGAACCGAAATCGAAGTTGTTTAAGTGCAACCCCCAACAGAGCTGGCTAGAGAAGTACAAATAGCTGAAGTTCAATCCACCAAAGGGTATGTTCTATTCGCTTTGCCAAAAATCAAATCTCATATCAATGTCACGTGAATGAACTTATTTTACTTTTCCTCTAGATAACAACTACAGGTATGTTCAATTCAATCTCGAACATTGCATATGTTGATAACATAACGCCTGTTACATTAGAATTAAAAAATATGGTGACCCCCCCCCCCCAAAAAAAAAGAAAATGTCGCACTGAAAATTGTTGACTGGGATACATTGCACCCCTAGCTGGAAATCCTAGATCAGACGCTGTTCCAATGGCTGTAATAGTTAGGTTTACCCATATAATAATGGCTAAACATATAAATTATTATTTCATTCCTTAAATTCATTCATTCATGGTGCATTCATCTGTCCCTTGCTGGTTATATGGAAGCTTAATTTTAATACTCTTACCTTGTTTACACAGTCTGGGTAGTTGTCACTCTCGTGCTAAACTGGACACCAAATTTGAGTCAAGTACCTAGTAAGAAATTATTGAAAATAAAATATAAAGTGAGTGACTAACATGTTTCTCAACCATAAGGCACCTTTTTTCATTTTTGCATTTCCCTATCAATAGGTAGAATTCAATCTGGACTAAAATTAATCCAATAAGCTGCCACATTGGAAAACCAGAAAACCCTGGGTAAGAGCTTGAGTCTGGTTGAAAGTTATAAGAGCCTGGACCGAGACTTACTTGGATACGGTTTTCAATTTATGCGGGTACAGTTATGGTACGGTTGGGTACAACGCATATATTAACCTCGAAGAGTCTAGATTCCCCTTATCTGTTAAGAACCATACACCGTATCAGGCTCTCTTTTGGTTTAGCCTTGCCCGCTGGAATGTTATTTACAAAGCGAAACGAAAATAGAGCCTGATCTCAGGTTACAACATTTGTAAGCTTTTGTGAATTTGAGGTTAACAGGAAATGTATAAATTATAGTTTTTAGTCAATACAACTGAACACTACTATCCAGCCACCTTGTCCAAACGGTATCTTTTCTTGTCTTTGTTATTTTATGGCTCAAGCAGTGTACAAATGTTACTCATTCCCAGCTACAGCAATGTTGCTCAGCACACACACTTGTAAATACTAACAGCTCACCTCACAAAATCTATTTTAATTGACTTTTGGATGCTCTTTGAACTTAAGACAAGCTTCAGACAAGGAAGTTTAAGTAGTTCCCTAATAAGGAAGGAAGGAACCTTGTACGTTTGGAATTCCATCATGTCCTGATGGAATTTCAATTTTTAATTACCAAGACAAAGGGTAGGACATTTCTGCAAACGTTTAAAGTTAGAATTCAAGCGCTTTGGTGCGAGAAAAACACTGCATCACATAAAAAAGAACACATACTTGATTGGAAGTTGATGGTCCATAAACACTGCCCCCACTGGATCCATGTCCCCATGATGCTGTCAGAGATAGGAGTGCATTAAAGCCATCTCTCCTGTTTCTGATCCTTTCTCCAGCCTAAGCTTGCTTGCTATCGTTCTTGCATCTACATCTACATCTATTTACTGTATTTACTCTTCAACGTTTTACACATCAAGAAGAGTTAAGAAATAAAAGTATAAATATAAATTAAAAAATCAAAAATCAAAATATATAACTAAGAAACAGGAGCACCCAACGTCAATTTTCGGAAAATATCTGTTCGGAAGACGATTTGAGATCTAGAAGTTTCAGAACGTTTTTTGTAAAATTTCTTGCTTGACTGCCTCTCCTAGGATTTTCGAACATCTAAAAGATGGTATAATTGCCCTTTTTTAATGGATTTTTACCCTAAAAAGGTCACCTAGAATTTTCGGGAGCCTTTTTTCTGGCTGAAATTTTCAAAAAGGGAAGTTTTGATCCCTATAATTTTCGGATCACCGACCTTTCAGCTAGGAAATCCAAACAGAGGAAAAATTTTTAGGGGATGAAAATATCCCTATAATTATCTGCTGTTTAAATTCTAAAATACTTTTAACAATGCTATGTTTAAGTGGTTTTGAACTATATTCTTGTTGGGTGCCCCTGAAGAAATTGCAATACTTAAAACAAAACTTAGAATAATTTTTTGCTCTACAAAATGCTGAATAACTAAGTGCTATGGTTTCAGGTAATAAACAGTTCCAGACCCTTATAGTTCTTGGGAAGAGACTATACTTATAGTAATCATGATGTCCAGATGGTCGGGTAAATGAGTTCATTGAGTAATTTCTGGTTTCCCTAATAGACAATTTATAATAAGGTGGAACAGGCAAAGAAATATCACAGAGGCACCCAATGACTGTTTTCTGTAAAATATCTGTTCGCAGAAGCAAATATTGCCTAAAATTTTCTATTACTTGAGGAAGGCTAAACATTTCTAGGTGACTGCTTCATTCGTGTACAATTTTCTAAAAAATTTCCAACAATTTTCTGAAGTTTAATTTTTCACATTTCACTCCCCAGCTCCGGCTATTTTTCGTAGAAAAAGGAAATCTAAAATTTTTGGATTCAAAAATGCGATGAAGAGAGGAATTAGAAAAATTGTCACTTTCGTAAAACGTTAAATTACGTCTAAAATTTTCTGGAAAGTAATACTGAAGCCCTAATAATTTCGAAAAGTCTTCAGTTGCCCTAGGATGACCGAACAGATGCAAATTTTCTAGCACCGCTGAGAATACATTTCTAGAGGTCTAAAAGTACTCTGGATAGCCTAAAAAATGTTTTCAGGGTATTTAGGAGGAAACTGTCGTTGGGTGCCCCTGATATCAATGTACACTAATTTATGGAAAATTTGAAGGCGATGGGATTTTCGTCTCTTGCTTAGTAATTCCAAAGATAAAGATTTCTTCAATTTGGACATGCTGGTGTTATTACTGCTTCTAGTTTCTCCACTTGATTCTGTCTATAAGGATCCCATACAGCATTCGCATACTCTAGATGTGGCCTGACACACTTGTCAGGTGATACATATTATGCTGCTTGTTTTGTTTCCTCTGAGCAGGCGTACAAGTTCCTTTTCACAAACACAAGTGTAGAATTCCCCTTTTTGACATTCTTGCCCACATGAGAGTTCCACCGTAAATCGCTAGACAGCAAAACACCTGAATAGTGATGTTGCTGAACAGCTACCAGGGCTTCGTTGTGGAGGGTGTAGTCTTTCGCTCCTGGGGATCTACTCCGGTAGACAGACATTTTGTAGCAATTGTTGGGATTGAACAGCATCTGCCACCTATTAGCCCATAAACCCAGTTTGTCTAGGTCACGCTGTAAAGCCAAGGTGTCATCATTATGAGTGATTTTATGATACAATAAAGCATCGTCAGCAAACAATCTTAGTGTACATACCAGATTATCTTGCATCTTGTACAAGTAAACCTTTGCCTAAAGCATTTTTCGGCTGCAAGTGTCAATGCATCCGTAAACGGCGATAGAGACAGTGCTGTTTTGATAGCCTATTAATTTATCGTGGCCATCAAAAGCATGAAACCAGTTTGGGCCTCGTGATGTGAAGTTGCCTCTGGCCTTTCTTCTTCTTAAATTAAGGAGCCTTTTTCAGCGAGTGCATCTGGATCTACATCGTATATTACTGATTACTGCATACACAAGATCGCCGGTAACCAAGGAGTTTTCCCGGCCCTTCCAATTCTCTTCTTACCGCGTCTTCGACCTGATTGACCGGTGTACATGTGTATGTCGTGATGCCATCGAAGAACTCTAGTCTTCTGTCTAGCGCCTTTAAACTCCACGCGTATTCACTAAAATCTCTTGACACAAAGTCTAAAAGGCCATTTCAACGAAAGTTTTGCTTCACATAACGACTTAAGACCTCTTTTAACTCCTCGATCGTCTTCTTAACATTCATTGTTGTCGCCATCTTGAATAGGACACCCCAAAGGCATTATGGGTTATGGCAATGATGCGGCATGACCGCGACCGTTTGTTTGTTGATTGTTTGTTTGTTTGTTTGTTTTTTTAACATACACCACATTCTCGCCCCCAGAGCCACTCTGCTTAATTTCCGATAGGCCATGAATAAATTTCTTATTTGTTTTTTTAATTATTATTATTTTTATTATTTTCAATTCTTTAATTTTTCATTTTTTCATTTTTTGTTTAAAAAATCGATTACTTTTTTGAAATTATTATTATTTTAGTTGTTAAAAATTAAAAGTAGTTTAATTTTTATTTCAAGTTATTTCTAGGAAATATTAGTAATATTTTAAAAACAAAAAGGAAGCAAAAATAAAACAAAACGAAAAAGATAGATTTACACAAAAAATTGTCAAGACAGGAGGGTTTTTGCAATGCGGCAGTCCTAGGCGACAATACAGATGTTCTAATGGTCTTGAAAGGCTTCTTTTCTATCCAGAACGTCAGGAAACACTTTTTCTCGATCTCTTTTTGATAACTCACAAAAGATGAAAAAACTTCAACATACTTTCTGACCAAAATCGTGGACTAACCCCTTTGGAAAAATGCAAATTCGGCGGTTTTTATACCGATGTTTTCATAGTCCTGAAAAGCTTGTTTTCTCTATAAAAAGTCAAAAAATTATTTTTCACGATCTATTTTCACGATCTATTACATGAAAACACAGGGGGTTACAAGGGGACAGGGGAATTTACAAGGGGTTAGGGCCTGTGCACCAATTATCAGGAGGGGGGGCTGAAACACTGGAGGGCGGGCATGACATAAAACTGCTGTCAAGAACGGCGGGGGCCCAAAGTAAAATCCCGAAGTAGACGTCGGGGGGGCCTAAAGCGCTCGTGGAAATGTCAAATTCAACACGAACAGCTGTTAAACGATCATTGAAAAATTCCATCAAAATGAAAAGTAAATTCACAACTGATCAATTTTAACCCGTCTTCTAAATAATTGAGCTGATCCTATGTAAAGCGAAAATCCTGAACTTGTTTTTCAGCTTCCCCCATAAAACAATGGGAATCAAACATATCTCGTAGACAAGCTTTGTCGGTTTTTGATGTGAATAAAAGTAATGTTTCTTCATCGACTGAATCGATTTACTGAATTCCATATATATGAGGCTCATAACAAAGTTCAACAACCTCTCCTCCCAAGGATCTAAATATAATGCAAGCTCTTTTTCGTGTGCTGTTTGAAGCGTTCAATCTCCTGTTCTTTGATATTTTTCTCTGCTTCTTTCTCTTTCTGGCTTCAGAAATTTTAGATTTTGAGCCAATGTGGTAAGCCCCCCCTCCTGATAATTATTGCACAGTCCCTTACAGGGGGTTACAAGGGGTTACAGGGGGTTACAACAAAAATATCTGGAGTTCATTTTTTCTATAAAAGCTTTTCCTTTTAACTCGAAAGCTAGCATACGTGCGCATAAACACATCTTTTAATACTTGAAATGGTTAAACTGCTGAAATTCAAGAGCAGAGACGTTTTTCAATGAGACAGCGTTCCTTTTTGTTGTCACGAACTTTGAAAACTTGGAAGTTCAAATTGCTGTATTTTCGAAATGAATCATCCTTCGGGGCTGGAAACATGTACAAAGATTTATTTTCTATTTATCTTCAACCTAGTGTAAATAAGAATTCGTAAAACCTCGCTTTTTTGACTTTGCAATCTGATAACGTCACTGTGAAAACTATCAATATAAAAATAAGCACACCAAAAAATAGATTTTGTTACTTAAATTTGCTGTAGCACTGCTCTTAGGCCAAAAAATAAACTTGGTTTTATTGGTTGCAAATCTATCCAAAAGTGCAATTTATGCTAGCAGTGAGGAAAATAGATGAAAATTATGCTTTTAACGATGAACTATGCCAAAAATGTTGCTAGCACAATCTATCAAAGCCTACTTGACCACTCCAGAAAATACCATACGATATGTCTGAGTATAATTTATGATCAATTTCCAACAGGCTGGTGTTTGACCATAATATGAGCAGACCCCGTTCAACTACCTCAAAGGTGCGCGGGCGGCGTTCATATAAATACTACTGAACTCATAACAGTCTTATTATACATAGTATTCTATGAAGCTTATTCTTTTTCTTTTTTAGCGACTTAATTATTCATCTATTTATCAATTTGCATTTTTGAATTTGCTTTCAAGAAATAGTTGCATCTAAAAAATTAACAAACGCGTGGCTGTTGATAAAAATAACTTTTTAAATAGTTTTACTAAACAAGATGTTACCCGGACACGAACAAGGTCGACCGTCCTACAGCGAAGGCCGGCATTGTACACAAAGAAAGTCGCGTGAGATCAATCAGTTGGCGCCCTGCCCATCCTTCTTGCGAAAAAAAGTGTTAATAGTCTTTTATTTTGTCCACAGTTTCATGAATCTCAGTATTACACTATACGTACTCTAAGATGATAGATATTGTATTATTTGGGAATTAAATGTTATGGATTGGTGAAGAATAACGATCAGAGCCAGTTTTAGCGGAATAGTATTTTTTGATAGAACAATGGAATTTGTATTTTCACATTGGCTATCCTTTAAAAAAGGCCATGAGGGGAAAGCACTAAGTATAAAACAACCGTGTATAAATGATACCCATCATAATTAAGGAAGGGCGGAAGACAGCTTCAATATCTTCTTACGATTCCTTAGTAAGTGATGTTGCGCAAGATTGTTGATTGTTGCGCAAGGTTCCTGTTTTCCACTTTTTTTCTTTTTTAATCTATTATTTATATTTATCTATTAATATTTTTCCCCTTTGTTTTTAAGAACGAGCCCAATGTTGAAGAATTTTTTCACAAACGCATGACTTTTGATACAAATGAAACCGGATTTTAAAATAGTTTCACTGAACATGGAAAAGGTTAACGATGCGGAGAAGATCGACTACCTAAAGCGAAGGCCGACAGTACAAACAAAAGCTTTTAATCACCAGAGGCAATTAGAATTTTAGTCGCGTATTTACATGCAAATTCATTAAAAACATGCGGTTTAAAAATTGAAAGCACCTTTTTAATTTACCTTCGTGCGCGCCAAGTCTTCACTGCTTTTTTTTACTTGGGGCAGCGCGTTCTGGTGGGTAAGTCAAACTTTTTTCCTTAAAAAACGACTGAAACTTAAGATATTCTTCATCTTCAAGTTTCCTTCCTTTAACTAAAGATTATTTGACAACCTAGGTATTTCATCACAACAGTATTAAATACGTATTAGTTTCCTTCATCGTCACTTATAAAGTGAAGATCATCTTCCCGCCATGGCTTTAGTTTTAAGATAACAACCAGAAAATTGATGTTTAGATTTAGATGATATTGAGAGGATTGATTTTTCGTCGGATTGAATTGTTAAATAGCTCAACTGGCTATTATGTGAGTGTGTAATATTACTTAAAGACTAATACTCACGAACTCACGCACGATAGGTGAACGACAGCTAGCTTATTGTCTCTTCGAGAACTTGTCAACCTTCAAAATCGAATTATTCAGTTTAATCATTGTACATTTATAATTAAAGTATCTCCTACCTATCTTCAATTCTGCATCTCAATGTTAACAAACAGCTTGGTTGCACGTTTAATGGTTCTGGCTTGAAATAATATGATAGTTAAAAAAGTACAATAAAAGAACGTCCGTAGCTATATACGGTACTATTAATTGTATCAAAAAGGTGTGAAAATTTCCTCATAAAAAAAGGATTGGGTTAGTTGTTAGCATAGAACATGATAGAAAACAATAAATTTTAGCTTCTCTCTTGACTTTTATCTTTTAGCGACCAAAACCGAGTCTTTGTTTGTCGAACTTTGTATGCATTCTTTAGTACAGTTAGCGGTGATTAAGTCACGACATAATTCATTATATTTCAAGGACGTTTTTTGTCTCAAGCTAGACTTTGAGGCAAGATACGGACAATAACGCAACAATCGTTCAAAATGAATTCACTCTATTAACTCGCGTTTATATCTACTACTCTATGATACACCTGTCAAGGAGTCACGCTTACTGTCTGACTTCACTTGTGGTTTGTAATAAGTATAAATACTTTGAATACCTTTTCGTTGATGCTAAAGATCTAAAAGATAATATTGCTTAGAAGGAAGGAACACTTATTGTCATTATTTGATACTTGTTTTATTTTGGCCTAGAGGCAGCGATAACAATGGCTTTGTTTATCAATAAGTAATTATCACACGCGCGTTATCAGTTGTACAAAAGTGTCTATGGAATGTGACAAGGTTTAACTGTTGTTAACCGTTCAGACTACAAGGATAGCAGGGACAGCTCGGAACCTGTCGGCACTGCATGGATAAACTGGATCTTTTGCAGAGATAGTGAAATGTCTATAAATTGTGAATTCTCAGACTTT